AGATAAAAGCTGAGGTGTGTAAGTTTTTTTTGGTACAAAATTCAGCACTCCATATTTCAAAATGGCGGACTGAGGGGTTTTTCGAGACAAAACACCTTTTATCTCAGTAGCCAATTACCAAAACCTCATAGTATGTTATATTAATTTTCTTCTTTTGAATTGGTTTATGCAAATATGCAATAAAATTTGAGGCATTCTATTTGAAAAATCACAACTTTGATATGTAGGTCGAAATTGGTACACCCTGTATAATAGCCAATATTTTAGAAATGTGCCCTCAAATATCATGTATAACATCCCATAAATAGATTTTCCCAAATGTATTTGTTTATGAGTAATATTCCGTACACATGGATGGGCCACCCTATATATATATATATATATATATATATATATATATATATACGAGGGATGTCTTTTGAGTTTTGCATATGGAAATGAAAAAACACGGTAGGTAGTTTTAAATGACTTTATTGTTTTTCGAAGTGCTCTCACGAAGATTAATACACATCTGCATGCGCTTGAACCAATTTTCGAAGCACTTATTCCTCTCGTTTGCTGGCAGACCCAAAACGGCATTTTTGAATGCGACAACTGCTTCTTCTGGTGACTGGAACCTTTGACCACGCAGTCTGTTTTTAATTTTCGGGAAGTAAAGAAATCGTTAGGACTTAGATCGGGACTATATGGAGGAGGGTCCAATACTTCCACGTTCTGTTCCGTTAAATACTGCCTTGTTTTTTGGGCAGTGTGCGAGCTTGCATTGTCTTGGTGGAGGATGATTCTTCTTTCGGGGTTGATTTTTCGAAGCTCGGTGATGACTTTTGGCAAACAAATGGTGGTATACCAGTCCGCAGTAACAGTTCTTTGCTCATTAAGAGGAATTGTTTACAATATGACCCGCTTTTGACACAATGTCGCGACCATCTTTTTCGAAACCCTTCGAGAAAGGATGACTTTTGTTGGCTTTTCTTCACCTTGGAACACCCAAACAGCCGACTATCGTTTATTTTCTGGTTCATAACAGTAAATCCACGATTCATCACCACTAACAATGCTGGACACATTTTTTGAGTTTTCGGAATTGAAACGGTCAAGCGTTTTTTGACACCAATTACCTCTGGCTGCTTTATGCTCTTCAGTCAACAGGTGGGGTATCCAACGAGAAACTAATTTTCTTACTCCTAATTCTTCGTGTAAAATTTTTTTGAATTGAGGTCTTTGAGATCTTCAAGGACGCCTCAATCTCGCGATATGTCACATGTCTATTTTCAATGATGAGTTTGCGCACAGCATCGACGTTTTCCTGGGTGACTGCCGTTTTTGGTGCACCCACCCTGGAATCGTCGCTAAGACTCACCCGTCCTCGTTTGAATTCTCCATACCAACGGGAAATTGTCGACTGATGTGGCGCTTCGTTGCCGAAAACAGACAGTAACTCAGCAAGGCTTTCTTGTTGCGATAATTGCCTCTGAAAGTTGTAATAAATTATGGCGCGAAAATGTTCTCGGTTGAGTTCCATTTTTCTAATGACGGTGACACCTAAAAATTCACTGTAGTGAGAACACTGCACGTATTGTTGTGAAACTTTGAATTTAGGTTTACTAAAGAGAGAGGTTAAGATTCAGTACTGACGTTCGATCCGCACGGCCCTACTATATTTCTATATGCAAAACTTAAAAGACATCCCTTTATGAAACACTTCACATTAGACCATATAACTCTTATATAAAACTTTTTCTTCTAGAATGGCATATAAAAAAGTTAGAGGGCGGGGAGGATCACTTTATAGCATCTACAAATGACATGAAAATTCGAGTTATGCAAAAAGATCTTGGATGGCAAACAAAAATAGTAATAATTATATATTGCAGCCGCGAAGACAGAATCTTTGAGTACCGAGGTAAAAAGCATTTGTTTCGCTTTCTGAACAGAAGAAGGTTTGTAGAACTACAGCCATGCCGTTTCCGAATTACTGTTGGAGCTTATTATTTTAAAGATTAAACATATTTTTTTGTGTACAATTGATAGCCTACCTAGTGGAATATAAGAAGGTATCACAGCATTTGCGCAATCTTTCACAAACTCAAAACAAGCAGTTTGATTAGGGGAATCTAAATCATCGAAAAATATACCTCCTACTCCTCTTCTTTCTCCTCTGTGAGGTATGTTGAAGTAATCATCACACCATTTTTTAAACCTAAAAAATCAAGTATAATTATTTATGGGCCAGATTTCTTCTTGCCAAATGAGCAAATGGGTGAATCCATGCAGATTTAAATGTACTTTGGACGTTACTTAAGGGAGACCCAACTCATGTAATATATATAATACAAACCAGGCATATTTCTACCTTAAGTTACGCTAAATCCAGGTTTAAGATAAGTATGTATAAATCCTCAATGTCTCCTCCTGTACCACCTTTTACCTACAGGGCCCCAGAGCACAGGAAGTTCGGAGCCTCTAACTAAAGGCAGAAGCGGGTCTAAGATGACGCACTGAGCGTCGAACCTCTGGACTCAAGGGTGCTCTAGACCGCGATTTATGGAGACCTTGAGTAGACAATTTATGTTCCCAATGATGATGCTCCAGCATACGACCTTCCACTATTCAACCATCACCAGCGGAAGCGCCGTACGAACTTTCTGCTTTGGGCTCCCAAAATCCTAGATCAGTTACTGGCTGAAGGAGCTCTAGAGCAAAACTACAATGGGGACCTGCTTTGCCGTTGGGAAAACTGAAGGGCGGTAGGGGTACTCAGACCAGTGGCGTAGCGTGCATTTTTGCCGCCCGGGGCTGATCGCAAATTTACCGCCGCTCTCTATTTTAAGTATCAGTTTAGAAAATTAGTAAAAGTCAAATGACTAAAAATGGAATTTTCGTGTTTTTCATAGCAAAATGTTTTATAGAATCCTCAACATCTGTACCTCGGAGCCAGACTAAATCAAATCCAAATTTTTGAATTTTTGGGTTTAATAGGCTAAGCAACATATGTATGCACACTCTCTTATTTGCTATTTCAGATTTGCCATATCTTTGAAAGCAAATAAATTAGCTGCTTTTAAATCGGGTTAAGTCTTAAGGCTGCTTAGAGCAAAACAAGGTTATGTTACTCAGTCATAGTTTGGCGCGCATATATACCCTATTTCACGAGTATCCATCACGCTTTCACGTCTACTCAGGTAAACAGCTGATCAGCAAGTGACATTTTTGTGTTAGACTGCAACGTTGGCAATAAAGAATCGGGTACAAATCTAGTAAAACTTGTTTGTGGCGTTTTGCTTTTTGTATTCAAATGAACTTTTCTAAATAAAAGAGCTGTTAGCAAGTACAAAATGAATCTGTAGCGTAAACAAACCAAAACAAAATACGGCTCAATATGTGCCCTGTGCCGATATGGGGAATTTTGAGATATTACCAGATAATTGGCAGTCATCTACTGTGAAATAGGGTATAAGTTGCATTTGTGGTAACATGCGTTACATATTTATATACACTGATAACCAAATTTGTCTGACGGCCTGACTTCAATGTGTACGAGAGAGACTTGTTAGAAAGAGATAGCGAAGCTCATCACCACGTTGTCTAGCAACACTGACGCGGCAATCTGCCACGTTACCAATGTGTTACACCAATTCCTTGAATTAAAATGCATGTTGAAAATATGCGTTAGTATATTATCTACGCATAAATAATGGTTTTATTTTGAGCGTACACACTTTTGAATTGTGGCTAACCCATGTGCCACTGCCTCTCTCCCCACGTTGCGCTACTGACGCAGGCATTTCTTTTTGAAATTCCCCTTGATTTTTGGGCATTTGGGGGTCACCCACCAAGTCCACGCTCTAGGCACAAACCCCATTTGTCCATAGGGTGAAGACGAGATAGTTTACCTAGGATAGTAACTGTTGTCATGCTTATCACAGGCATCCTTCAAGGTTCTGTGGAAGTGTACAGCGTCAGCCGAGTTCAGGTAGTACGGCGTTAAGTCGGTACCACCTCCAAACCACCACTGGGTTTCTTTTCCATCTTCCACTTCAAAATATCGATAGTTGAAGTGAATTGTCGGCACCAATGGGTTTGATGGATGGATCACAGCGCTGATACCAGCAGCAAAGAAAGGTAGGTTTCCATCTAATTTGAAAAAAAAATATGTTAAAATAATTCTACATAAATATGAAGGTTGAAAGAAGCAGCTTTAACATTGGTGCTGATTTGAATATGCACTTGCTTCCCATATACATATGTGACATTTATTTTATGTATGTCCAATAATATCCATGTCATTCACATTCGTAGATGTCTGTCTTTTTGCGTTTTGTCACCATGTAATGTTTCAAGTAGTTCAGATTTTTTTACACCGAAGCAGCAGCGCAGGCAGAAGCCTAAATGACAAGGCACCGCGGCGGCTATGAGGAGTTTAAAGAAACTTAGTTGATCCGATTTTTGAACTGCCTAAGACATCAAACATGCCACGTGTACATTTTTTGAGCAGATAACTTCTATATTTTGTTAGACTAAATTCATCTGTCAAATGAGTATGTATTACCATGGATTAACGTATACTTCCTGATGGCAGCCTACCTAAAATGCTATATTTCCGGGTCCAAAAGATTATTCGAGATAAAATGAGATACTGTAGTACCATAAATATATGAAATTTTGTCACATTTAATATGTATACTTTGTAAACGTTAGTGTTTCACCTTTGAGACACTCATTATATATATATATATATATATAGTAGTAAATAGAAAAATAGCTGTAATAAATTCTCATAGATGACCCTAAATCGCATTTATCTCTGTTAATTTTTTGGACGCCGGAATATAGCATTAGGTTAGCTATCTTCAGGTAGAATATGTAAATCAATGGTATTACCCACATTTTTACGTAATGATAAGCTGATTTCGACAAATATCTTAAAAGTGACACAAAGTACAACAAAGAGGTAGATATACCAAGTATACCTTATGATGTTTGAGAATTCCAACACTCTCGCCTGATGGGAATAAAGATTGTGCTATTATTATCTCAGCTTTAATGCTGTTTTAGCAAAAAAGCTAAATAGAGTAGTCAAATCATATTTTCTTTAGCTTCACCTGATAAATTTTTGCCCCTAGATCGCATCTGTGCAACAGCAGCTTTGGCAATGTTCCTGACACCACAGAAATGTTGACACCTGCCTTTTCAAAGACTTTGCCTTCTTGAAGGACACATGTTATTCCACCACCTCCTTCCTTACGTTCCCACCTACATCATATACAAAATATTCTGCACAGCACATTATCACAAAAAATGGAAGGCAGATTCAGCATGTTAGATTTTATAAACATGGGTCTGTAAATGCTTCATTATTATAATACAAGATGGTTGAACTTTATGTTTTGCAAACAATTGTATATACTATTGGGTTTTGCAAAAGTGACATTTTGTCAAAGCCATATTGATTCTGCTTGCTGTCTCATAGAGTTGTTCATTGTTTGTTGAAAGAAAGTAACATACCGATTACTCTATTTCTTAATCAGAGTAAACAGATTTGAATGTTGGTCAATAAAACAATTTTCAGTTTGGGAACAATGCAGCTGAATATTTAAACTTCCAAATACAACAGGCTTAACTAACATGTCAAGGACCAAATCTGCTAGGCAATTATATAAAAATGACTTTGAGACTAATTTTTTCTGTCCCTGGTTGGTGAGGTAAAACATTATTTCTTTTGTATTTTTGGAAATAAAGCTTATTGACTGATAGATTTAAGATAATGATACTGTTTTGCAAAAATCAGTTGTGTGGTTTTTCTGAACATAATCTTGCTAGCATGAATGCCACTGCTGTATGTGCTTTAAGAAACAATTATTTTGTATATGTTGATGTAACCCTTGATAATACAGCTCTATGAAGCAAAATTCGTTCCATTATTTTGATCCTATATATTTATATGGACTTTTTTATATTCTCACATGGTGCATGTGCCCTTCAATTTATTGAAAATATTCTGTAGTGGAATTTCAATAATAACACTTCGTACCTACCTGTCAACAAGAAACTTGAACTCAGAATCTTCTTCCTTTTCTAAAGCTCTACAGAAATCTTTCTGCACTTTCATAATCATAAGTTCCATTTTTGCCTTCATTGAATTTGGATTTTTTCGGAGTTTATCCCAAGGCGTAATCGGGTCTGCCATGAATTCTTTTGTCTCCACTTTGGTTGAAAAGAGTGCCATGGCTCCTACGAATACCGAACCGTATGTTCTGGAAAAAAGGTCAATTATAGCTTTTATAATAATGTTATAAGTTAAAGAAACGTTTCACAAAACTAAACAGCAATCTTATTGTTTGACTTATGGCCAATATCAATATTTAAATAAAAACCGCCTTATCATTATCTTGGTACCTAAATACGTATGCTTACCTGAGGTTTTTGAACTCTCTAGATTTGGAATTGTGATATAATACGATCATAATATTCTTTCTTATAATTTTAAACACCATTCTGGCTTATATAATGAATAACGTAAATAATAAATACAATTTTCTATCAAAAATAATATCGGAGCAGTGAATGATTCTTTAGGTGGAAGTGAGGTTATAAAATCCCATAATCCAACCACAGCCGACGTCAACTACGAGCCGTGATGAAAGAAAGGCAACACCGCGCTCGGACGGCATGGTAGTGCTACCTGTGAACGTCGGCCGCCAGCGGCTGTGTGCTCCGTCTCCGTGTAACGTTCAAGAACTAAATTTAATTTTGGAAAAGAGGACAGTTCGATTCCATACAAATCGTCTGAATATGAAATAGCTCTAAAAAATTTAAAAATACGAAATAATCGTGATATATATGAGCCGCTAATGCAGTTAACCTAATTAAAAGTATTTTGTTTACGTTTGTTGGTGTCAGCACACTGTGTTCCAACAGGCCCAGCTTGGAAATGTGGAGTTACCTGTTTGTTTTTAATACATTTACTTTCAGTTTTACTGTTATTTTTCAATTTTACATAATCATTCAAAATTATGTTGAAAAAATAGACATAAGCTTAGATAAAATATCTGCATAATTGCGGCCACAGATACAAGTTAAAGAAAATTCACTGTATATAAAGTCAGACTGAATGCTGAGCAAGGTTAACTGACACAAAATAAATTTTTGATTATTGCTTTTCAAGAAGAAAATTTCCAATCTATCTACATTAATAATAGATTCAAAAATGGAATACATATGGTAGAATATGATTGGTACATAACTGGTTGGAATTGACAGTTGACAGTCCTCCTCTTTGCAAATGATCAAAATAAACATTTGTTGTTAATGAACCTTTTTCTTTAACTATTAGCGATTTGCATATCTCGCAGTTTAGGTTTTTAGAGATAGTGTGTGAAGCATATCCAGATATATAAGTGTTAGTACTACTCCTCTATGTCACAATTGGCTAAGTAATTTGTCTCAAATACTTCATTGAATATACCTATCCAAAACTTCAGGATTTTGTTTGGTATCCAAGAAATCAAAATTTTCTTGAGTTTCTAAGCAGTATTGGAACCTTGTTTTAATTTCTGCTAAAGAAAATGACGATTTCTTTTCATTGAAAATATGCTTCAGCCGTATTTTCTTTTCAGCATTTAAAATTTCATCATATGACACATTGTAATTGCAGCCACATAAAAGTCTATAATTGCCAAATCGTTTTTCTAAATTATCAGTGGTGAATTTTCCAGGCAATACATACTCAATGTCAAATTGATTAAATGAATATTCAATTATATTAAGTAGAGTCAGTGTGCTTTGATATTTTCTAACCATATCAGGAATTTTTTTAAAAATTGTACCCTATAAGTAATCATATTTATTGGTAATAGGCTTACAAAATTCGTTTCGCTTCAATTCTCCTTTTATTACACTTGTAAAAAGTGTGCAGCATCATTAAACTTTAATTCTTTCATAGCAGCTATTGTTGAGTGATGGAATAAATTATCTACAAAATTTAGATTTCGCCTTTCAAATGAATTTGGATGCAATGTTTTATAATTTAATTTATATGCTTTCTTAACTACAGCTTCTTTTTCCAATTGATATACAGCACGAATGTTTTCAAATTTAGCATACTGAATAATATCATTATTGTCAAAATTAGGATATACAAAAGTTTTGTCTAGGTTTTTTAAATTAATCCAATTATTTCTGATACTCGTGAAAATATGCACAACATCATTAGTTAAATATATGTTCTTATCAGGATTATGTGGATTTGGAATAGAATAATTTTCTGATGAATCCTTTGCTAATTTCCTGAACATTGCTCTATTAATTCGGTGATTATAAGTAACAACACAAATAACTTCAAATCCACATTTTTGAACTAAATTTATCACATGTTCAACCAAAGGTGTCATTTCATCACCTGTTAGATTTGAAACTGGTAGTAATTTGATAATTTCTGTTATGTTTCCAAATGCTGAAGATAGCATGAAGGCTAAAACAGTTTTAGCCATGTCATTTTTATTTGAGGCATACCCAACAATGTTTTGTGAGCGATAGTCCAGCCTAGATGTTATATAAATTTCATCGATCATCAAAATTACACTTTTTTCTCTTGGAGCCAATTTAATTACTATATTCGACAGGTAGTGTTCATTATTCCTATCATTTTTTGGAGATATATCCATACTTGAGGAGATATGTTGTAAGTATCGCTTACTTGGAAAATAAAAAATCTTTTAATTAAATTATATGTTGATGATGAGTGGTTATAAAACGTAAAAGCCATTGTTATTAAAAGTGATGCATATCTGTTTTTCCTGTTTTGAATTTGTCTCAGCTGATCAGCAATAATCTGTAGATTTTTTGTATATGGAAACATAACTGAGTCATTATTAATTATGGAAATCACTGTGTCAAGTTGTTCTAATGCATTCATGATGCAAAGTTCAACAGAGTTTTTGTGTTGGTTCTCAGAAAAATAGAAAAAATACCTATTTAGCAGGTTTTCTAATTGGGACCATCTGGTAATTTTGAGATCATATGGCAAAACCCACTTCAAGTCACTAAAAGAAAGCTTGCATCCTTTATGAACAACCTGAACTTCCATCTGACCATCAACTATAATCTGTGTATTCAAAGTTAAGATATCATTTTCAAAATCCAATTTATAAAAATATAACTTTCCATCAGATAATTTAATATTCCATTTCTGTGAGGCTTTAATTTTTGAAAATGAAGAATGTAATTCTTGAAAGTCTTTGATCTTATCCATATCATCGAAATTCTGGATAGCTTTTTCATGTTTCTCAATTAATTTTTGTTTTCTTTGCATTGGGTCAGTTCTTTTGGGTGCTTCAGTTTTTGAAAGATATGATGGCAAGTTTGGGAAAATGGAGGGAACAGCATTTTCTTTCAATTTTGGATATTTCAAAGGTATATTATCTTGGACTGTTCCATCCGCCAAAACTATATTTTCTGTCCTGATGATATCCGATTCTCTAAAATGACGACTGCACACAGCTGAATATTTTGAAGGTGTCCAATTTTTTCTGGGAATTGCCATAAGCCATTTGTTTTTCAGACTTTCGGTACTTGGGAAGCGAAAAGTTGAAACATAGCTTTCTGTTTTCAAAGCAGAATTATAGTTTGCATTGCATAAAGGAACACAGCAACAACGAGGCATATTGTCTGCGTCAAATACTTGATAAACGAAAAAAGAAAAATACAACCTGAATTTGCACGTTTTCAATAGTTGAAATCCTTAGCGTCCTGAGGCGCGAACAGCCACAGTCACACTTCTTAGTTTATTTTTAAAGCACAGAAGCACTACAACTGGAGTCTATTTCTCATATATTATAGTCACCGATCACTTTGAACACATACACACACTTTGAAGCTTAGAAAACAAGCTTATCTCGTAATTACAGCCTCTGGGATTCCCAAATCACAAATTGAAAAGGTTATGTTTTCTCAGCCTTTTGAGCACGAGTTGCGTCGATGCAGCAAGCAGCGGCGGGAGTAACACTACCACCTACGTTGCCAGATTTCTTTGTTCACGGCTCGTAGTGGACGTCGGCTATGATCCAACGTTCAAAGATCCGTGTACTTCTACTAAGTAGAAAATGAAACTGAATATATCTAAAATTAAAAACGGTTTTTAAATATTCTAAAAATGCACAGGTACTGGAATAATTTAGGTAATAAATCGTTTGGTGTTTTATCAAAATTTTCTATGTTGCTGGTAGATAAAGTACCTATCTAGATTATCTTGACGATATAATCTTTGTTAATGAACTTTTCGTTTGTGTTGTTGTTTATCACATTTAAAAAAAATAAATTCAAATCAAACAGGTTGCTCCCGTTATCAGATTCAACACTGCCATGTGCCGATACTTGCACAGTTTCCTGATAATAAGGATATAATGTACAGGGTGTCCCAGAGGATTTTCAATTCAAATCAATCAAATATTTGAGGAAAAATGCCTTTATTTGAGAACGGAGCGCCAGATGTGTGAATTCCAGTGTTTACATATTACGCCATGCAGATATGCTCTTCGCGTTGATGCATCCACTATCGCATACTTGTTCACCGCCCCCTCCTCCTTGAGAGTCCGATTAAACATTTGCATTTTTAGCATGATCTTGTGTACAACATTGAAGATTGTTAGAATTTGCCCGTCTCTGAAAAATTTTGCTGCTCCCCGCTCGTCAAGACGTTTTGAGGCAGATACACTTTCACAAAATGTTATCTCTTGCCCACGATTGTTTCCCCTACTGAGAAAAATTCCTGCGTACACAAAATGTTGTCTGAGCCTTTCGCGTTTTAAAAGAAAATGACACTTGATTATTTTTTTGTGATATATTTCAGGGCCACTGCGATCACCATCAGATTTGACACTACTTGAACCTGCTTTGCTTGAATATGTAATGCAAAATGCGATGCAAAGGCTTCATGAATGCGTGTAATAATGAAACGGAGGACCTACTCCGAGAATTCCTGGTTTCGGTTATTATCTTACTTGAGCTTTTATGCCAAAGATATTTTTGTATCACCGTGGTTTTGCTCAGTTCTAGCACGTCTGTCATATGTTATTTAATCAGTGTTGCCAGAGCCAACATTGAAAATTCCGCTACTGGTATCGAAAAACTCCGCTACTTTCCGCTACCCCGGGAATTATCGTCGGGCGGAGGGGGCGCACTAAGACAGGGGGCATTTATTATAAAGACTGTGTCAAAAAAGGAAAACAAAAACCAAACAGCGTGATAAAATATAACATAAAACTGTAATAAAAAAAACATTTGGCTATAAAAACCAATACAATATTACAAATAACTATCAAACAACAGAACATTTATTACACAGTCATATTAAAAAAATATCACAGGAAACTAAAAAATAAAAAGGTTGTGACTAAAGGCCATTTCTGTCTTGCATAAAAAAATTGCAGTTTTTGAGTTACTTAAACTTAGTCACTGTCTGTATCAAATTCTTCTTGTTGTATTTCTGTTCTCTCTATACTATATAAATTATTTTTGTGTTTTTTAAAATGTTTTTCACCAAACTCGAAGTCTAAGCAGCAACATTTTTTTGTACTGTATCCAGTTTAATAATTATCGCGATCAAAAGTTAAAGATAAAATACGATTTCTTATCTTTTTTTTGATTATCTCCATATATCAGAATGTTCACTCGACATCTGCACTACCATGTGACAAAAGTTAAAATTATTAGACATACTTTGGAAATACACTTCACAGGTTGTGTTCTTACCACCTACTACCAT